AAGAGTATCTGCAATATTCCTGTCCGCGAGGGGTTAACTAGCCCTGCCGTAAAACCTACACGCAGAAAAATGGTTTATTCGTGTGAAACAAACTTCATTCCAATCAAACAAATTATCTGATTCAAATAAAGTTAATTTAATTCGAGTGTACCATTTTCGTGGGATAGTTCTCTAGATTGAATGGAGAGTTTGTCCCGCCGAACAGGAGTTCTTGTGAGGTTAATAGAAATAGAATTGTTCTGGGTGAATGGTAAATTAGCCTCGTCGAAGAAAATAGTTCGTGGTCTTTCCAAGCCGCAAATCGTTGATTTCATCTGGCGTGTTCCATTCAACGTATGGCAATTTGCTTCAAACATGTTTGCTGATTTGATTCAAAATGTTTGAATCGATTATTGCTTATGTTGAAAGTTTTTTAATTAATTTGAACAATTGAAGTTGCCGTGATCAACATTTCTTTTTCTAGATTGAATTCGCAATTTCCCACCTGGATCATCGCACGAACCTTCAGAGGCATTTGGATTTTGGAAGCTTAATTTTGCAGGGAAGTAGAATTTCCCGTAAAGACCAAGTGAACTATTTCGAGTCTGACCATCTCTCTTTTTTTGTAATTTCCGTCTGGGTTTTAAAAGAGAGTTGGGTTAAAGGCCCCAGATAATTGAGATGTTATTTCAGTTATCCATTACCTGAAATCCATCTCCATTGCCTTTAACAGTCGCGTTGTTGTTGGGGCGACAACTTTTCAGGAGAGCGAGTATAGTGTTGCGTATTTGTTTTTCGCCTCTCGCACCTATTTCCATGTACAATCTTCTCTTTTTATTCCGCCATTCCATCTCGTATGTTTTCCCGCGCACGTGTACTGTCACTGTTTGTATTTATTTTTATTATTTCTTTCGCCCCAATCTTTTCAATAAACATTAATTAATTTCATAAGCTCTTTCATTTTACAATATTTTACGAAAATTATCATTGAATAAGCATCACAAGCGTGTTGGACTTATGAATTTGTCCTTTATGATCTGTTTTAACTAAATATTTCATAGACTTAAATATAAATAATGCAATCAGTGATTTTTTGAGTCAAACGTCGAATGCATGAGTGTTCTTCGGTAAATTTACTTGGGTCTGATGATCTCTTCACCAACTCCATTCCAGTGTTTCCATGCTGTCTCTATAGTACCGCCTCTGGCATTCGCACGGATCGCAGATGAATCGTGGGATAATCTCAGTTGTACACCTAGCCTATAGGAGAATAGGTTCGTTCATTTCGGGTTTATGGGGTCCTTCGGGTGCGTTTGGGCGCGGCCAATAAGGCCCAAAAGTCTATAGTGTACGCCCATTGTGCCCGTATTGATGGAGATTAGAGGAGTGTGTTGAATGTCGGTGTTCATCAATTTTATCTGGATGTAATGAACGAGTTTTCTTTGAGTAAAATTTAAAAATACCCAAACATTTAATACATCCCAGTTCTCCCTGGCCGCTGGATATTTTGAAATATTTCCGAATAAAAACTCAATTGTTATTGCAATTATAAAATTTCGGAATACGAAACGCATACTTTCATAATTACGGTACTGTATCGTATTGCATTAATTTCTGTAAAGTAATACATGGAGTTAATGAATACACGGGTGATCCTTACGTACAAAATTTTGTGTGAACATATGTCGTGAAATAATTCACTCGAAAAGAAAAAAGTCTGCATACGGTACTCAAACAAGTCTTATGGAGAGAAAAAAAATCGTTTATACATGGAGAATAAACATTCTTTGGAAAACTAGATCTATTTTTGGGCCAAAAATCACTACTTGCCAAAATCATTCGACATTAAATATCTATCACGTCTTCTCACTGAAAACAAGTGATATAAAAATCTAGAACAAAAACGATGTTTTGCTGTTTCATTTTTCACGTAGAAAAACGTGTTACATATTCAAAAAATCCCGCCTCTGGCGCTCGTCCCCCTCCAGCACCTCAGCGGAACTCGCCCCAGCTGTTCTCAACAGCTGATCATTGCCCTAAATAAAAAGTAGTTCAGTATCCTCGAATTCTAATTTTTTCGCACGCAATAGAATTGTCATTCATCAGTCCGAGTTTCCTCTTCAACAAAAACGTAAAAAACCTGAATAACTCTATTTTATTAGTTTATTTTGCTGTTATTCTTCCGGATAAAATTCATTTGCATGAATTACCATAAGTACAAACATTGTTCGACATTCGGTGAAGAATTCCCCATAAAATTGTTGTCGTGACCATAAACCCAAGAACAATGGCCTCAGCATCGAGTACCAGTGCTCGTAGTTTATTCGTGGAATCAAAGATTCGTTTGGCTGACAAAGTACAGGTGAATGTAAACAATATCGCATCATTAGCCAGGCAGATTCAACGTGGATCTAAGAGTTCTGAGGTGAGACAAACATGAAGAATTTTATTTACAATAACAACTGATAATATTCCCTCACCAATCGGTGAGTTCATCTGTAACTGAGCAAATACATTGATTGGATTTCTTTAGATTCTAATGCATTCGGCGAAGAATTTCGCCCAGCAGGAGTATGGCCTAGATAACGCTGAAAACAACCTCAATAAGCTCATGCTCATAACATCCCACTTGGAGTACCAGTTGAATGCGGTCGACAGAAGTTCAGCTAAACTGGAGGACGTCACTGAGCAAGTGAGGGCGATGCAGCGATAATCAATGAATAACTTCAAGGTATTTATCACGAATCATCTTGATATCAAATAAAAAGTGCAGTTCTGGCGTGCAATAAAGCATAACCAGACTAATTGATTTTTTATATTTCGATGAACATCGAGTTGCCTATAACAGTAATGAGAGGCTCGGGGGACAATGTTGAGACACAGTTTTTATTCAGAATTTCATTAGATCGAGAAAAAGACTCCTTGACAGCATCACGTGTTCTGGGACGTTGGAAGAATGATTGAGAAAATAATTTCGTCTGTTGAATGGCGAATTATCCGCATGAGTCATTTTGAGGAAAAATGTTGAGAGACAGTTTTTGTTCGAAATTTCGTCAGCTAGAAAACATATTCTCTGGCTTTTTTTTTGCTGGAATCACTTTATACTCAGACACCGATTTTTTACATCTCGGTGGATAGCGAGTCACATATCACTGTGATGAATGACTCTAAGGGAAAATGTTGAGCGACTGTTTTTATTTGAAATTTCATTAGCTAGAAAAAAGGACCCTTGACATCGCCTATCATCACTTGTCCCTGAGATGAATGATGGGTAACAAATGCTTCTCGGAAATGGAAGGAAAGATTAAAAAAAATAATTCGATTCTTCACATCTTGTTGAACGTTGAATTATCCGGATAATGAGTCATTTTGAGGAAAAATGTTGAGACAGCTTTTGTCTCAATATTCGTCAGCTAGAAAACATGCCCTCTAACATTTTTTTCTTTTAAAGTTCATGTAACGTTTTCTGCAACCGATTTATTCGGCTATAATTTAACTCTATTCATTGGTATTACTATAGCCATAACTACAGTTATAAAGAGTTGTACATAAGTATAATTATTCATAACTATAGTTAGCTATGTCTACGGAATTTCAAATTATTATTATTATTAAAGTTAAAAAACGAAAATATTCTAACCAACCGCTAACAAAAAAAGTCGTGTAAATGACATTCCATTTAAATTGAAAATTTACCAATGAATTTTAATAATTTCAATAATTTACCAATTACAACAACAGGAATACACAATGCATTTCATGCATTCATGAGGAATTAATGTATTTTTCCTAAAAACCTCGTTGAAAAAAAAAAAAAGAATGGGAAAAACCATTAAGACAATTCACCTATTGAATTTCATTGTTATCAACTATTTTATATTTTATTTATCAAAAACTCGATTATCCCCCAACAAAAACCGTTACAATGTCATCTATTCGTCGAATCAATAGTAAATTCTCATTTGTTCAGCTTTCATTCTCTCAAATGGAATGCACACCTCGTATGAACGCCTCAACCGAAGGAATAGGAGTGTCTGGAAGTATTCCATGCCCCAAATTAGCGATATAACGGGTTTTTCCGAACTTTTCACCAATCTCCCTCGCCCGTTTGTACACTTCATCCTCATTGGCATACATTGCACACGGATCCATGTTCCCTTGCACAGTGACATTGGGACCGAATCTCTGTCTAGCTTCAACAGCATCAACATTCCAATCCACCCCTATAACTTCGTAGCTCTGGTCTTTAGCCAGCAGCTCCAGGGAATTCATCGTTGCTCCCCTTGGGAACACAATCTGAAAGAAAAACAATTGTCGAAAGACATCTGCATCCGCCTTTCACCCAGATTCTTTCATTCCCAATTATTCTCTTACCATCGGCACTCTCGGAATCCTCAACTCGTCCAACTTCACCTTGACTCTCTCGCTAATTTGTTTGACAAAGGGGAAACAATATTTCCTGAATAATTCATCATTCAGGTAATCTGCATGACTTTCGAAGACTTGTAGAGCCTAAAAAAATCTTTCATCATTGAATACCTCTGAATGAGTAATCCTGCACTTCGAAAAAAATGTTCTTGAACGAATATTGTTTGAACCGGAGAATCTGAAGCTCTAAATGATCAAAATAGAAATTATTTAGTTAAACATACGACTGTTTAACTAAATAATCTGAGGAAAATCTGAAGCTCTAAATGACCAAAATAGAAATTATTTAGTCAAACATGAATAATTGCTCTGCTTTCAAGAATAAAATAATTGATATAAAATATTTGTCATAAAGGGAAGTATAGGATTGTTATGATATCATAATTGTTGTTCTATTCAAGAATTAATTCTGTGAGTATTTGATAGCCGAAATGAAAAACTGTACTGCCTTTTTGGCATAAAACAAACATTTTGTTCAACAAATTTTCGGCTAAAATTTTATGGAAAAATTAATGGAAACCTCAAATTTCAGTTCAATTATTTCATGAAGATTGAGAAAAATTGGGAAAATTCAAATACGATTGGGAATCCTCACCTTTTTGTTGCTCAAAAATGAGAAATTTCATTGAATTTTCAAGGAAATCTGACATTTCATGATCAATTCAACTATAAACCATCAACTATCCGTGAAATTTCAATTGTTTTTCAGCAATGTGTAGAATAACAAGTAATTAGTGCTAAAAATGAGACTTCTTACTAACACAGAAAATAACAATTATTTAAACCAACTAAATCTATTTTTACGACAATTTTTCACCTTAAGACAAGGTTTTTTCCTTTCGATAATTTTCGACTTCGGATTCTTCTCGTTCAAACAATATTTATTTGAGAACAAGTTTTCGTTTCTCTCAGTGTGAGTTGTAGTTGTTTACCTGAGCTCCAGCTTTCACCTGCATGACGAGATAATCAACCACAATGTCAGTTATCAACTGCAACAGTTCTATGGACTTCTCTGGATACCTATAGAGCCAGGATCTGGCCTGTGCCATTGTCGAACTGCCACCTCCTTGAATCATGTACCCCATCAGTGTCCACTAGAGTCATACGAAGAGTACTGAATACACAGACTCGTTAAAAACAATGACCCCAATTCAATTAGAAGTCTTCAGAAATATTTGATATCTTACAGGCGCCCCAGTGAATCCAATGAGAGGTACTTTTCCTTCCAAACTATGCCTCGTAAGGGTTATTGCCTCTCCGACATATCCAAGGTCTGTCTCAACGTCCGGCCGCTTCAACCTTGACATGTCAGATGGATTTGCCAGGGGCTCCGGGAGCACTGGACCCTGAGAAAATCATGTGATTCATTTCCACTCGAGATAACACGCATTGAAAGATCGTTCTAATTAATACTGTTCTCGTATTTAAAGAAGTTAAAAATTGAATAATTCAGTGAATTATGGATCTGAGAGAAAGTACAATGGAAAATCTAATTGAAAAAAAACAGAATGGAAAATAATCTTCAAATAGATACGAAAAAGTATTTGGAGAATTTCCCAAGTGTTTTGCTACTGTATTTTTTACGTTTCTCATGAGAAAAATTGAAGAATGAGAACTGAGAATTTTATACAAAAAATTGATTAAAACTATTGAAATATTAATTACCACTCCAGGTCGCATTTCCACAGTGAGTCCCATGGCCTGAGGTATGACGAGTATATCCGAAAAAATAATACTCGCATCCAATTCGAATCTCCTAATCGGTTGAAGTGTTACTTCACAGGCGTACTCAGGTGTCTGGCAAATTGTGAAAAAATCGTGCTTCGTTCGAAATTCTCTGAACTCGGGCAGATATCTCCCAGCTTGTCTCATTATCCACACGGGTATTTTATCGACATCTTCTCCCCTAGCTGCTCGCAGAAATCTGTCGTTTTTCAGAGCTGGAAAATTATGCTGAGCCATGCTGAAAATAGGTTTTTTTTCGACCATCAGTAGTTGTTCCTGTTTTTATCGCGATGTTCTAGAAACGAAAAAAATGTGTAAACTTGATCTAGACGTCTTCAGTTTATCTGAATGACTCTATTACCTGTGAATGATCAGTAATATCAATGAAGAGAGCTGTTGGAGATCCAATATTTTTTATTTTTCGTATAGCAGGAAGGTTAGAGGCTTTTGAAGCACTGAACCACACTGAAGGTGGACTCTGTGGACAGGCGCCACTGGAACTATTTTGACTCGGTTTTATCAGTCGATAAAACAGTGTCAATGCACCAGAGGCAAACGTGGACAATTCGAATTAGCTTCATTAACAGGGTCAGTTTATATCAATGTTTCGGTGGTGGGAATTTATGACAAACAGAATTAAATGGGTCACTTGTTTGTGGATGATACTACGAGATTAATTAAAAATGGAGGGGATTCTTTTTTATTTTCGTCATGCTGTAGGCCTCGATATTTGATTATTACAAAATTAAGTGATAATCTCAGGACGTGATGCGACATACGAAAATTATGAAAATAAGTAAATGCAATTAATGAAAATTGTTGAGTTTCAAGAGAATTTCTTAGAGCGAGAGCTAGGCTTTTCTGCTATATTCTCTCTGAATTATTGAGTTTTTCTATCCTTATACATTGTTGATCAAGGCAACAATAACTGTTTGAATCAAATAACTGATTCCACGAAATTTCCATTTTTTAAAGTGGAATATCGCAGAATCTATGTCCTACAAAATTTTCCAAAAAAATCACCGAATTCGGAATTTATTAATCTACCACGGATTCGTTTTTTAAGAACATCGGATGAACCGTTTTCTCGGAAGATAGAAAAATCGAGGTCGGGGGGACCTATAACCCCCATTTGGCCTATGCCTCGCCAGCTAGAAGCCCCCATTTCATTATTTATTATCTCCTAAACCGTTTTCTTCCTTGAATTTTTCTTATGAGAAAGATAAAAAATACAGTGGCAAAGGCACTTGGGAAATTTATACCCAAGAATTGATATGGAAAAATCAAAATCTTTTGACTTTTTCATATTTATTTGACAACTAGTGAGTTTTTATAGAATTTCTCAGATCAAACCCATAATTCACTGAATTATTCAATTTTTATTTTCAATATGAGAACAATATTAAGGTATATCCTAAGACAACAAAACCCAAAAGTTAGTCCCATGGATTTCCGCAAAAAAATTCTAAATGACTTAATGTAGTGCATTCTCATCGTCATGATTTATGTCTCGCGTGCTAGAAATCCGCATTTCATTATTCGTTATCCCCTAAACTGTGTAGTATACACATAATAATTATAATGTTTTGCAATAGCTAGGCAATATTACAAACATTATTCATGGAAAACATGGGGACAGCCGCACGAAAACCCTGTTTTCTACATATCTTAAATCATGAGACATTCTTCTCAATGATTCATTCCATTTGCGTTAGTTATTCCACATTATTCCCCTCGTAATCGCAATGACTAATTGTGTTGGATATAGTTGTGAAGCAATGTACGAAATGATCATCTCTATGACTAAACAGCTGGTGTTAATGGTCATTGATTTCACAATAGCATGCCTTGTTGTGCGTCTCTTGATTCTATTTGACCTCCGTTGGTGCCGGCAACCCGTCTCAATACATGATTTCGCGCTATCGAATATTATCAGCCAAGGTCGCCCTTGAAGTAGCAACAATGCACTCGATACATCGCGCAGCCCTGGCCCTGTCAATTGATCGTAAACAATGCAATTATTTTTCGATCATTCATTTTCAATCGATGTGCGCAGATCCAAGCGAATTATTTACCATCGATCGTCGTGAACTATGTATTCGTATTCGCGTTTCATTCGTGCATAAATTGTCTAGGTATACTCCCACGATTCTATCGTTGCATGAATTTTTTTTTGTTCAAAGAACTTGAGAAATCGTTTTGTGTAGTGATTTTATTACTCAAATTTTGAAACTCTAGAATTTATTCTTCATTTTGGGTCGTTGGGAAATATTTTATTAATCTGGAAAAATTAGAAAGTCTGGTTTTTTAGGAACTCAAAGTCTTTCCAAAAATTGACATTTTCGGAGATTGCGACTGTTTCTCTGGAATAGTTTATGGACAATTAATTTTTGTCATTCATAATCTTTCTTTACAGAATGTAAAAAATTTGTAAATATTCAAAACTTCACCGTAAATCGATTTCATATAAAAAAATGAGGCTCCCACAATTTTAAACCTTCTCCATCATTCATTCAAAAAAATAAAACAAAGATTTAAAAGAACAGTAGAATGAAATTTAAATAATATTGATTATCCATGAATTAGAAAAAAAAAATTTAATGCAATTCAATTAATGAATCTGTGATTAAAAGTTTCCAAATGTTTGTATTACATCTTTGCTATGTTCAAAAATCGTGATAAAATTTCGTAGCCACAGCCAATACAATCTGCATTATGTCACACTGCCGATGTTTTAATCGTCTATGACTCATTCTCTCTTAATTGTTTATCGACAGTAAGCAAAAGGCGTATCTAACGTCTGCCCACCCCCTCTCCCCATTTTTCTAATGCAATAACAAAAAAAACGTGAAAACCCGGATTTCGACCGTTAGGAAAACATTTACACTGGAGTTTGTTCGATGTTTATCGCATTTGGCATTTGCCCCACTCTGTCAATAGCTGCAGTGGAATCCCTCCTCGAAAATATTGATTACCCACGGCATTCTATTGACTCTTTCTTGTACTGTGCCGTGACAAAGCTGGTCGTCTAAACTTTTTCGTCTGGTTTGGTAAATAACTGGAGATTGAATGTCACTGATGAAAAACAATCCGCACGTGTGTTAAATCCCGTTCATCAAGATACCCCTGAATTCATAAAATTGTGAAGCAGACAGTCTCGAGATATTCAAAGCGAGTTATTCCCTTGAGCCAAAACGCTGATAACTTTTTATTCAATTCTGATAAATCCTCAATACTTCTTTCCTAAAAAAACACTATACAATAATTTTATCATTTGTCAATACCGTAAGGAAGCTTCGAGAACGGGTGGGTCTTGCAATAACGAAGATTGCATTGCAGGAAAACAGAGTGGAAACTAGAAAATGAAATTATTTAGTCTTCGGTTTTGCTTAATTTCACGTTCGAAAGAAGCTTAGATTTTTGCGCCCACTAATTGCCCGAAATAAAATCAGTAGAGAGATGACTGGTTCTAATGAATTATTCTCATAATCGATTTTCTTAAAAGAAAAAGAATAATTCGTTATAAATTTTTCTACAGACATTCTCGAGTACAAGTTTTTAAAAAATGTTTCTCATTGAAAATATTCAAGAAAGAAAATCTAAAAATTTCGCGTCCAATAATTCTTCAAAAAAAACGAAATTAACAATACAATAATTTTATCATTCATCAATTTCAAAAGGAAGCATCGCGAAACCGATGGGCACTACGACAAAACCCAATGGAAATTAGAAAACGCGTGGATGTAATTGAATATGCAACGAGAGGCACAAATTACCGAGTCTTCAGTTTTACTCAATTTCACGCTTTAACGAATCCCTGAAAAAACCCATTTCAGCCGCACATTTAACGACGCTTTTGCATCGAATCGCGGCCAAACAATGATAAACCGCGATAAGAGATCAGATAAACGATGCCTGAATGATCCAGTGATCCAGTTGAATTCTCCAGGCGAACGTAAACGAGAGAAATAAAAATTATCAACTACAGCAATTAACATCGCGCCGCAAACATTCGCCAGGTGCGTGCACTGTGTTTTAGGGTAACGTACACACGCGAGGCGAATGACAGTGTAACCTCTGGTGTGTGACCCATCACCTTCACTTCCTCTGCACTAGGCATTCGTTTCTTCTCTGCACACAACTCTTTCGCTGTCCCCTTCCAATGCCCAGTATTTTCGCCACTGGAAGGGATTGTCATTTACTTGACATTCTACTGTGAGCAATTCGTCTGGGGCTAGTTTGTCCCGTGCTCTTGATAGAAAAAAAAAATACGACTAGACTACTTGTTGCAATGATTCGGAGTATTGCTCGTATGAGTTGTCGGCGAATTGAACAAGAGGGGCGGCTCATGAGGCGCACAATCGTCGAATCGTTGTTTCCTGGCGTAGAGGAGTGAGCGCAACTGCCAACAGTTGTTTCAGTTCGTTTCAGTCCACATTCAGACACGCCACCGCACGGTTCAACGTCAACGTCGTCTTCATGACGTACGTTAGTGTGTCACATATTACAATTCGTTGTCAATTGGTCTATTGAGACTTTTCGACAGTCCTGTAGAGTTTCTAGTTCATTTGTGATTTTTTTATCCAAATGTGGAGGACGGTTCATGCATGAGTACGTATTTTTTTTATTTTATCCATGTTTTATTCTATTTTTTGAGCTTTTTGTCGTTTTTTTGGGTACCGTAGGGTGATGATAATTGAGGGGCAATTGCCGTAATTTTAGGTTTCAATTGTTTCGCTGAGCTCGGAGGGGTGATTTATTTTGAGTTGTGATTAACAGCTCTCGGGGGCGTATAATTTTGGAACTCAACAATGACGACACCCGAGCTTTTTGCAGGATTTTAGAGATTGATGGGGCAAAAAATTATCGGTCTACCTTTGGCGAATGTTAATTCATCACTCAATCATCTATCAAGTTTTTTCAATATACTGTGGCTATACGTCATGCCGCGATAATTTTATCGGCAAAAGCGTTGGTTTAAAATTCAGAGAATTTCAGATAAAAGAAATATATGTGAATAGCTGAAATAGAGTTTTCTCATCCCCTTCGGTGGTGTCACGTTCTATATTTAATGCACTTTCCGGCCAGCGTAATGCCTTGGTAATTTAGTTTCGGAGTTGGTAATGACACTGGATTGTAATCGGAAATATGATTAATTATGATTGAATGTAATTAGGGGGGGACTTTGATGTTTGGGAGTTTCTCAGCGTACTGGGCCATTATTGAGTAATGAATGGGTTACTGATGTTATAATATGTACTTAGATAAGGTTCAAGGTTGCTGACTGCTCCTATCGAGTCATTTAATCTCTTTCCTGTTTACTACCCACCTACAATCTAAACACCGACAATGCACACTGTCCCGGGCGAATCGATATACTTCACTTATTTACTCCCAATAATTTACGATTACACTTTTTTGCTTTCTTTCGTGGTTAATACCACAACAAGAGCTGACTTTCACGATAGAAAGCGCCGATGGGTTGGTTGACCTCATCGCGTTTTATCCTCGTTTCGTGATGCTCATCCATCTTAAACGTTATTCGACCTCAAGAAAAAAAGAACGATGACCGGGTTTTGTGGACATACTGCACCGTGCATTACGCATCAAATGACCCGATCCAACGTGACGATAAATTTTTTTTTCATCTAGTTGACAACTCACGGGCGAATTGAGATGAGGAGAAAAAACTCGATTTCAGGAGGAACAGTAAAATCAAAAGTATGTCATAGAAATGGTGAATAAAAAAATTGAAAGTGTGCCCGTAGAATCCGGTTCTTTCGACCGGTTTTTTTTCTTTTGTTCGTCTTGACAGAAAGACCATTGAATTAGAATAAAAAATGTCATAGAAATATTTTCATCCCAGTTTAATGGAAAACTAGATTGACTGGGGATTATCGCTTTTAAGTCGGAGGATCAATGAAGAACGGATGGCATACTTGAACTTAGAGGGGTGAATGTGTGTTGCACTTTTGCACCTGACCATCGTCACTATTTTCTTCTGCTGCAAAAAGAGGAGAAGGTTTGCGTTGTAAATATTCCATAAGAATATTCACCGGTGGAACGTCAATGCAGGCGCACTGTTTTTCCTAGTTTCTTGCATATCTTCGCGCTGCATCCAATTGACGTATTTTTTGATAAAAAATTATTATTCAATTGCAAAAAATTGATCTCGATATATTTGATAAAAGTTGAGTTCTCCGACTTCCTTATTTATTTCTGCAATTCACATTATTATATTCTTCCTCTATTTGTCCTGTTGTTTCTTGATTGCAAAGGGAACGCGTTTTTTTCTCTTTTCTTGATATCTTCACGGTGAATCTGATTGACACTTTTTTGCATAAAAAATCATTATCTAATTGTAAAGAAGGGATCTCGATCTATTTGATAAAAATTGAGTTTTCCCCGCTTCTTCATTTACTTATTCAATTCAAACGATTATATCCTTTCCCCGTTCTGTTCTGCTGATTGTCGATTATAAAGGAAGGAAAAAATTTATTGGCTAATGTTGAGCGCGTTCATAATTGTATAGTACGGGTGCGGTAGCGATTGTACGTGTGTTCTAGAAAAACGTCATTATAAAATTGTTAACGCAATGAATTTTTGCGCAAGTGGTAAAATAGTGGTAAATCGAACCTTTCGAAGATGCCGAGAGCATTGGAGTGTGAATTTTTTTATGCACGGAAAAACGGAAACACTCACCGGTACTTTGTCACGAACGTACTCGTCTCATTCTGTTTTTATCACCCGGAAGATAAAACATAACAGAGTCCACGGTTGACGAACCTCCAGATTTGTTGAGCATTTTATCACGTTTTGTTTTCAAAACTAGAATTTGACCACAGAGTGAGTGGATTGAGCAATGCTTGTACCCTCAATTTTTTGTCAGAATGATGAGAATGATCAATTTCATCGAAATATTGTATTTCACTATCACTGAGACATTGAAGACTAGTTATTTGAGTTGTGGGAAATCAGCTCAATGTTGAATGCAAATAGAATTCAACTCCTACTTGGTTTTTTAATACTCGTTCCTTTCTGAGAAGAACACGGAATAATAGATCGATAGATCTCATTCTGTACTTACCAACTTGTTAAAGAACCTCTAGGTTTGTTCATCATTTTATTATGTTTTGCTTTTAAAACTGGAACTTGACTACAGAATAATCAGATTGAGCAATCCCTGTGTCCTCAATTTTTCATGGGAATGCTGAATATAATCAATTTCTTCTCGCCATCGTATTTCACTATCACCGAGTCATTAAAGGCTAGTTATTTCTCAATAGTTCGTTGAATCGGTTCGCGCATCGTCAGGATAAAATGCGGGTGACGCCTGGTGAGATGTTACCGTTTTGCATACAATGCGTGATGGTCAGGAAATCCCAAGTGATGTTGAAAAAATGGATGGAAACATTCACAACAGTAAACGAATTGTGAGAAATGAGCTCAATGTTGGGTGCAAAAAGAATTCAACTCCTGCATGGTTGTTTTATACTCGCTCTATCCCGAGAAGAACGAGGAAAAACAAATTATGAGCTTAGGATGGATCTATAGATGGATATTTTTACCTAATGCAGTTCTCGTACATCTGCGGGTGTCTATCAAAGACGTACATTGAAGTTCATTATTCTCATTTTCATGGTTGCGCAAGAACGGCAAATGACAGGTGAGCGGAGGCTAATACAGCCCCGCTATAATCGTTAGGGTATGATATTATTGACCCACACTGACTACAAGACTCATTTGCAATAAAACGATCATTTTTATTCTTTTTACTGGGCGTAACTGACCTTAAAAGAGAAATTGTGCGTTTGAAAAATTACAGATGAATGTGTTTGCAGGAGTTCGACAGAAAGATCAGAGCAGTCATTAGACAATTCCATTAAATTGTTCGATAATATTTTTTAAGTCATAAAAAATTTAATTGTCTATCGACTTTTCTCGATCAAATATCTGCCAAAAAATGCAAAAAGAGACTGCAAAATTTCAAATGAGAATCATCAAGAAACGAATGGTGTTTTCTAATGCTGCGAATACATGCAAATTTATTTCATCTGGAAAACGGAGAAAGTAACGATGCAAATAGGGTTGACACGAAAAGCTATCGGACACAAGGGCAACGGGCACGGCGTAATGAACGGAAAAAATTCGATAACTCTTTCAATTTTCACGCCCCTTCCCAGAAAAGTCATGAATCAGTGGTATACTGCGATCGCTGTAAAACCCACGGAGATACCTAGTACGTTATATTGATAGTGAGCACTTGGACTTTGATATCGTAAAAAAATACCAACATTTTTAGCAACTCATGTTATTGAGTCATTTGTCAACTGCCAACTCAGTGTCAATTGTTTTCCAAATGTTCGTCCGTGACCCTCTGTTATCCTTATTTATTGCATTGCATTGGAAACAACAGGAGCACGTGTTTACGTTTTGCTTCATGGAAGTTTTACGAAAAATAACGTAAACTCGACAATGATAAATTTTCTGTGCGTAAAATCGGATTGTCAATTTACTGAATGGAAGTTTTACTGACAACTTTACTTGACACATCTGCAACTGCACTGATGATTAATAGGTCTGCATTTCTTTTGTTATCAGGAAAACATGCTGTTACATACGTTGGACTTTGAGTGATGAGACTAATTGTTGGCGACAGCAAGATATAACCCAAGTTATCAATTAAATAGAAAAAAAAAATTGAAATTCAAAATTAACTGAATAAATACTTGACGTGAGATGACGAGTGGTCCTCATCAGTCCTCACATGCGAGCCCCTCGCGATCCAGTCTGAGCTGCTGTCAAGGAGGAGATGACAGTAGCAGTTCAAATGATGTTAGCGAAATGCCAGAGTTAACGGGCAACAACAACTACGTTGTTACCAAGAACCACACATTTCCAAAACGTCCTGAAGTTGATCTCACATTTAAAAATGTTAAATATAGTGTTAAAACGTGGAATCTACGAAAATTGCAGCGAGGTAAGAGCTATTGGAATACTTTAATCAACTATTCAAAATCACACGATAAATTTAGGAGACATTTACGAGAAATTTATAACTTTACGAGATTTATGATTGTACGTCAATTATCCGTGACATGAAAATTTTTTATTTAAAACCGTAAACACTTGCAGACATGGAAAATTATTGATAATTGCTCGTTCGCATCATCATGAAAATTGGATAATCAATTGCAACATTTACTCGCTCGATTCAACATTTTGCATGATTAAAGCCGCGTGAAAAAATTGCTTGAACAAGTAATATGTTATTATCTATTTTTTTTCTCATTCTGTTAATGACATACGAACCATGTTTTTCTTGGCTCGTGCGCACGCACAATTTAATTGAGTATCGAAGTTTGGGCTAAAGTATCGTGACATATCCGTTCACTTATATATAATTCTCATTGTATTATTCATGTCGGACGGCGAAGGAAATGACGGGTTGAATAAATACGTCACGGGCCTGTAATACAGTAAAATGGTTACTTCACGTGTGGAAAAATTTAATAGAAATAACTAACGCTCTGGCTAGAAGACAGTATCTGCTGATTTTGACTTCTACAGAAATTCTTGGGAGTAAACTTCTGCGTTGCATAATTTCTAGTAAAATTTATCGAAGAATGCACTGTTTTTTACGGAAATTTTCATTCACGTGCAGTACCGAGAATGGAAAAAAAACCATCATTAATATTGTTTAAAGAAAATGCGCTTCTTTCCCCCATCATTTTTCACGGTAATTTTGCATCAGTGAGACAATTAATGATGCAGGGATGCATAAATTGACGCTCTTGAATGGAACGACGAGTCTCTTTTAAAAATTCGCCGGGTGCCTACCTGACCAAGCACACGTGTCCGGGGGAACGATTCTTTTTCTTCTTCAACCTTGTCACGTAGGCACCGTCGTCGATTATTACCTCCTTGGCCAAACATGTTTTAACCCTTCTACCCAGCACGAATCTCTCCATCCTGAGCCCCAGTATTTCACTTTTTTCTTAATTCTTGTTTTACCCGGCTTTCCTTGTTGCAGTGATAAGAATTGAAATGAATGAGTCAAAGAAATTGTATTTTAATGGCCACATTTGTTCTTCGTAATATGTATATTCCATATTCAGTCAAGTGTTACAAAATAATGAATCACTGTGACAAAGCACGTAATCACGGTTCGTTTTTAATAATAGTTCGTTTTTTGATAGATCATTAAGAGAACAATCATGATGATGAAAATTAACGACGTGGTAAGTTGAGGAGTTCGTGTCAGGTTGAGAGATGAAATGATGCAATGAAATGTCAACACGGACGGAAGATGATGCAGTAATAACTTCACGATTAGTGTCAAATGTCGTTGTTGATTTTTGCTTACAAAATATGCCACTCATCTGTGGCCCTATATTTCTCTTTTTTTGAATTCTTGTTTTACTCGGCTTTTCTTGATGCAGTGATAAGAATTGAAATGAATGAGTCAAAGAAATGGTATTTTAATGGCCACACTTGTTCTTCGTGATGTGTATATTCCATATTCAGTCAAATGTTACTAAATAATGAGGCACTGTGACACAGCACGTAATCACAGAATAGTTCGTTTTTTGATCGATCATTAAGAGAACAATCATGATGATGAAAATTAAAGACGTGGTAAGTTGAAGAGTTCGTGTCAATTTGAGAGATAAAATGATGCAGTGAAATGTGAACACAAAAGAGGGACGGAAGATAAATCACTAATAGTGCTACGATTAGTGTCAAATATCGTCGTGGATCATTTTTTATTACAAAATATTTCACTCATCTCGTCTGCGGAGGCCCCAGCGCGGATCTCTCTTCATCCTGAGCCCCCGGATTTCACGTTTTTCTTAATTCTTATTTTACTTCACTTTTCTTGAGGCAACGATAAGAATTGAAATGAATGGGTCAAGGAAATTGTATTTTAATGCCCACATTTGTTCTTTGCGAAATATATATTCCATGTCACAACGCGTAATCACGAATAGTTCGTTCATTGATAAATCACTAAGAGAACAGTCGTGTTGGTTAAAATTAACGATTTGTCGGGTTGAAGAGTTCGTGTCGAGTTGAGATGTAAAATGATGCAATGAAATGTCAACACTAGTGTCAAAAATCGTAATTGGTAACTTTTTATTACAAAATATTCCACTCATCTCACCAGCGCAAGCCTCGAGGAAGGGCTACAAGACTTTAACATTTTAAAATTTCCACTCAAGGACATTTTTTAACCAAGCCATGAAAAAACATGAGATGATAATAATAATCTGTTAATTATTCCAGAATCCAAGGAGATTCTTCACGGTGTCAGTGGGCAATTTCGAGCTGGTGAACTGACAGCAATAATGGGTCCCTCGGGGGCTGGCAAATCAACACTCCTTAATGTTCTCGCTGGCTTTACGTAAGTAACTGGTCATTAATGTTGCACCAGCATCTATTTCCTAGGAGTTAATGACTTTTATAACTTTTATGGTTCAACCTTGGTCTTGAAATTAGTGTTCAAGGTGCATCGGGTGAAATTTTTGTCAATGGAAAACGCCGTACACCGTACAGCGAACGATGGAAAAGAACATCAACTTATATACAACAGGACTCATTACCACGTACTAAATTGACTGTTGGTGAGGCCATGACACTTGCTGCTAATCTAAAGCTTGGATATACGATTAGCTCCACATTTAAACATTCGCAGGTAATCAATCAGCAAACGACAGCATAATTCAGTCATTAATCACGAGAATCCACTTAATGCATTGCAAAAAAAACATTCGAATATTTCGCATAAAAATCTCGAAATTCATTCCGATGAAAACGAAAAAGTGAAAGGGAGAGTGACCCAACTGCTCTGCATAACATTTGAATACCAGCTGAATTCGAATAGTTCAGGCAATTGTGTTCAGTTCTGTGCGTGGGATTCGAAATTAAAAAACTTATGTATAACGCCAATTTGGGAATTTAAGGGTCTGTTGTGTTAATCGTCGTACTTCTCTTCAGGTGCTAGACTTGTTAGAGATGCTAGGACTCAACCACTGTTACGACACTCTTTGCGGACGTCTCTCTGGTGGCCAGAAGAAACGCCTGGATGTTGCATTCGAACTCCTCAGCAATCCCTCAGTATTATTTCTCGACGAGCCGACCACAGGTAAACCTCCACAAGCCTCAACCTCACGTGCGAAAAAAAATCGTTGAAAAACCTTGTGAATTCGCTAGAGAAGTCTACTGCACTTTCTATTAGTATCGAAAAGGCTTTTGCAAATTTAGAGGAGAAGCTGTTTAATAATATTCGTCAACGATTATCTTATCTTGATAATTTCTGTTCTAATATTTCTTTTCCTTCTATAATTCTCCAAAAACATGAAATATTATTTCATTGGAAATCCATTACATATTTTGATTGTCAATTGGCGTTTACCCCCCTGTATCAATGCGTAATTCTAAATGCCCAGCTCTTTATTGAAAAAATGAATAGAATTTTATTTTTCTATGCGACTTACTCTGTTGAGATATTTTCTATTGAAATTTCTCGGCTCAAATTTTCCAAGTTTTTTAGTTCAAGTTTTTTTTATGAAGAGAAGGAAAGGTGCGGGAAAAAAGCCTCGAAAATTCATGTCGAGTGAGTAGAATTCTTCAATAGAATCTTCCACAAACTAATAAATTTTCCAATTGAACTTCACTAGGAATCGAATAGAACTCAGTCGAATGCGCTGGGATTTTCCAAGAAATATTTTCATTGGCGCTGCATTTTCATAATCCCTAGAATGTACTTTTTGCCCCCAAATGTGTCTGTGACTCTGACTGAAGCCAAAAAAAACTCATCATCAGAATGACAAGAACCGGCGAGAACAAGTGAACAAAAAACGATGAATCCTTAATGATTGCAGGTCTCGACTCGGCATCGTGTAGCTCGTGTATTGCGTTGCTCCAGAGATTGGCCAGAATTGAGAAGCGTACAGTGGTCTGTACGATACATCAACCAAGTGCCCTGTTATTCGAAATGTTCGATTCACTTTATGCACTGGCTGGTGGTCACTGCATATACCGCGGTCCAATTTCATCATTCTTACCACACCTGATGTCGATAGGTGTCTCATGTCCCTCGTACCACAATCCAGCGGATTTTTTGATTGAAGTTGCAATTGGAGATTACGGAGTTACCGTTGACAAACTCGCAATGGCAGCTGAAGACATGTGGCATGACAATCAGGGAATTACAGTTGAGAAAATTGAGAGCAAGGGAAAGACAATTGAAGTGTCTGTCACTGAGGAGCCACCACCACCAGCTGGATTTCTCGCCCAGTGTTACTTACTTTATAAGAGACAACTACTCAGTATGAGACGAGATTCATCGCTAATGATAGTTCGACTCCTCTGTCATCTGATGATTGGAATAATCTTTGGGTATTTGTACAGAGGCAGTGGCTATCGTGCTAACAGTGTTCTTGCCAATTATGTTTATCTTTATGGATCACTTTTGCTCATTGTTTACACTGGTAAAATGGCTGTCACACTGGCATTTCCCATGGAAATGCAGATATTGACTAGGGAGCATTTCAACAGATGGTACAAATTGGCACCCTATTACATTAGTTTACTGCTGGTTGAGATACCATTTCAAGCTGCATGCGCCGCGACGTATTTGATCGTCAGCTATTGGCTCACTGGACAACCGGTGGAGACACAGCGTATTCTCTGTTTTATGGTTGTCAGCATTGCTGCCAGCTTGTGCGCACAGGCGTGGGGATTCTTCATTGGGGCTACGACACCTGTCAAGGTGAGATTGCAACTGTTGGGAGACTACCCAGTTTTAAAAGTCGCGGGCTAAAATACCCAGGAAAATATTCCTGAAAGGATCGAGAATAGATTTTTAATATTTTGAGGGTTATTTTCGAGGAATATCTTCGAATCTAAGGGAGATAACGAAATTTTCGTAAAGACCTTTTTAATGGAGCACATTGAGGGACACAAAAAAGGTCCTGACGAAAATTTCGTTATCCCCTTAGATTCCGAGATATTCAATGAAAACTGGTCAGTAAAAATTTACTTGAACCGTTTCACCTCTTCGCTACTGAATTAGTTTGAATTATGTTCAAGGGAAAGTCTCAAATGATTTAGAGAGTACGGGGAACAAGGTCAATGGTGATGTCGGTAGTATCTGTTATTACAAATAGCAAATAGGCATAATGCTGCACGATTTTGAGAACCCATGGAATTTTCATACAATCGGATTTTCATAAATTTGAATGGATTAATTTAGAACTCGACGAATATTGAATTTTTAAAGTCGATTCAGTGATAATGAGAAGATTGAAGGGCATGAAGATATATGAAGGTCAACAGTAGATGGAGGATTTCATAACAAGGGAATCTAATATAAATTTTTATAAAGTCGATTTTTTTTAGTTTTAATGGATTCATTTTTTATAAATCGACCAATATTGATCAATCAACCGCAAGACAGCGTGATTCACTAATGGAGCACAAACCTCTATAACATCAATTTTGGTATCAAAAAATCCAACTAAAGCGTGACATTACAACAGGTCTGGAAAAGCCATTAGACTGAAAAAAATTGATTCATTAATAATGAGAGAATTAGACCCTTTGAGGCAATATAGAGGTCAACAGCAAACGCACGATTTCATAACAATCACTGGAGCTCAATACAACTCTTATAAAATCGTATCCTCATTCATTTGAATGAATTAATGTCCTAAATAATGAAAAAAAAACTGAGAGTATTAAGAAGTGCAATATTTGTCATCGTAATTTTCACAAGATCGTATGTTCATTAAGTCAAATGCGTCAATTTATCAAATGAAGAAATTCCCAATGAAAGAACGTAAATTAGAAAAGTTGAGAAAATCAAAGAGAAATAAAAATAACATCTGAAGTAACATCAGTTCATAAATATTTAGCGTGAAAATTAATCTACGGATTCGTAATTGATTACAGATTGCTGTTTTCGCTGGTCCAGTGATAGCAGTTCTCTTCTCGGTCTTCGGCTTCTGCATTCGTTACATGGACACCCCAGTATTCTTTCGTTGGATATTCCACATATCCTACTTCAGAGCAGGGTTCCACAGTCTTCTCTACACGATCTACGGATTCGAGAGGAATGATCTCTTCTGCGATGACATTTACTGTCACTACAAAAAGCCCTGGAAGTTCCTCAACGAGATGGAGATCAATGAGACAAATGTCATAAATAATCTCGTGCTAATTGTTGGCATGGGTGTACTGATGCATCTGTTAACAGCAAGTGCACTCTGGTGTAAACTGAACAGAAGATAAACTAGATGAATTGCTTTTACGGTTACTGCAAGACAGTATTCCAAGGTGGGCCCACCCATGAGCTGTGAAAAGTCATTCGAAAAAATCTCTCGCCAAAAAATTAGCGCATCTTGCCGAGCCAGCTTCGTCATTCGACCGACGATTGGGTATTTTTATCCGAAAAAATTGATAAATCGATATTTCGTCGGGTGGGCCATGACTTGAGTCTCAGAGCTTTATAAACTACTTATGATCTTGTTAGTTATTACGATCGTATCATCGTTGTGACAGGGTCGATACATGTTACACTACATTATCTTCCGGCGTGGAAGCTTCATAAATCAATGACAATTATGTTTTATCTCTAAGAAAGACAGTGTAACACGAAAAAGAATAGTGTTAATGATGGACCTAGTCGAGAAAGTAACTTAATTAGTATTTAATGTTAATACTTAATGCATCCAGTGTTTAGGTTGTAAGATCTTTTTGGTTTATAAATAAATCGAACTCATTGAAGATTGGTGTGTTGTTCATTCATGAGAATAAATTGACTTTGGGTGCGTGACCACTCATTTACTCTTTTTTATTTCTTTTATTTGGCGGCGTTTGACATATTCAACCCCTTTGAAACTTCTAAATTAGTAAATATAGATGGTCAAATTGATCTGGGGGTTTATACCTGTGGAACACCGTTAATTAATGTATTAAATTATTTTTGCCACTCAGTTTGTGAAGCCTCGTTTCGCTAAAAAGCCACTCACAAACGTTGGGATAAAAAATATACTTCGTCACTGTGTCCATAAAAAATTTTCTGGCGAATATGCATGCAGAAGACTATTTTACACTTTTCATTGATTTTCTCAAATTTTCATGATTGATTGAATTGATTGAATGAGATTGTTTAATGAGGAAATTTCCGAAATTTTTAATTAAAACCTTCGCATTTTGAGCCCTTGCAAAGGGGTTCTCGCTTTCATTTTCCCTCCGCTCTGAATGAACCCCTTGTTGCTCCCCTTACGAATGCGCAGTCGCCCTAGACACGCGTCTGCCAGGGGTGAAAATCTCCCCCAAAACACTGATTTTACCATAAAAATAAATAAATAAATAAATGTCATAATTTCATGAGAAAATTGATTGAAAATGTGATTTTTCAGAGACGAGATTACCTAAATTTTAATAAAAACGTCACTCTTTCAAAATTAGTTTGGTTCAACGCGGCAATTTCAAACGAAATTTTCCAACCGTAACACGACGATTCCGTAATTGAAGTCTTGCAAAGGAGTTCTCACATTTATTCTCCCTCCAGTTCTCACCCCTTGTTGCTCGGCCTACGAATGCGCAGTCGTGCTGCCCTAACGGTTAGAGCCTAACCCACCCCCGATCCTCAAGTGATAGAAAAACATTATGATTCTACCATTAAAATAAATAAATAAAAAATTGTTCAACTGCACAAACTATTCACAAACTAATTTAACGCACCTAAACTATCTAATTTCCCCCATTTTCACTTAATAATTGAGCCCAATTTCACACCTTTTATTGACTTCTTCATAATTTTACGGAAAAATTGATTAAACATGTGATTTTTCAATGGCGAGATCACCTAAAATTTGAATAAAAATGTGAATTTGTCAAAATTAGTCTGGTTTATCTGGCTTAGTCTGGTTTATTAGTCTGAATATGACGTAGAAGTGCTCAAGCATGCCTCAAAAAGTTATTAAAAAAATTTTTTTCTAGTCAACTTAAGCGAAATTAAAATGTTCGCAGTGCAACCGATTGCAAAGGGGTTCCCACCCTGATTTTCCCTCCATCCTACCGAACCCCTTGTTGCTCATCCTCCGAATGCGCAGTCGCGCTGCCCCAACCCACCCCCGATCCGCGACAAGAGGAGACGCGTCCACCACAGGGTGAGAATCTCCCCCAAAAATTGTGCTCTTACCCCTAAAAAAATAACCAAATAAAAAATTGCCCAACATAGAATTAACTCCACGCCCCAGTCACGCGCCTTCCCACAGACCCGCACCACAACCGCGCGCACGCACACTCTCGACAGCCCACATTCAACTCGTGCATATTTATAGTTTCACATAGTCCTCCACAACATTAATTCCATTGTTCTAGTGCAGCAAGTACCAACGAATCACCCAAAGGCTCAACTGAACTCAATCCATGTGCGCTGTATCTCGTGTTTTAAAACATCATTCGTGAGAGAATTCATCAGCTATATCTTCCCATCCAGTACTCCCCCGCTGCATCACTTGAATTCTAATTCCGTGACAGTCCCAGAATCCCAGTAATCCACAACCACTCGCCTCTGTATAATCTCCACGAACAGCGATCCCACTGAAAAATTAAATTTTTCCCAGACATCCTGTCCCCCTCAACAATTAGTTATCAATGAGTGGCTGCGTGTTGTCGTGCAACAGTTCAGTCCCCAAAACGTGTTATTTATCATTATCAATCGTGCAGCTGTGCGGCCCCGACTCATTTGTTCATGCATACAAAGCATTATTTACCAGCTTATGATTGCCGGTCGGTACAGCAGTGGTGAATGCTAATGAGCCAGTGGGAGATGTGGATTAATCTAGGTGCTGCCTTGAGAGAACAAAAGGAAAACTCATGTATCAAGTGGGAGTGAGCGCGCCACCATTCGAATATCCTCACTTCTAACACACATACCGCGTGGCAACATGATTACCGCTGAAGATATCAGTTCGCCGTCAATCGTGGACTTGTGTACACGCACGCTCAACTAGGAAACTCGTATTTCGCCATCAGTCGAGTCTGAGCGAATAGAAAATAGAAAACAAGTTTGATATCAATTGTTCGGCTATTGGGGAGTTCTCGGTGGCGCGAGGGGCGACTGCGAGTGCAATGAATCTCACGCTGTGGCGGGAACAATGACCACTGAGTCCACGATTTTTGGTCTTTAGGTAGTGAAGTAATTGTTGGTAATAGTGATAGTAACAATTCCGTTATGAAGAACTTCCCAGAAGATACGATCGACTCACTCCAGCGATCTTTGAACCTGACCTTTGATGGCATCTCGCAGAATGCTAATGCAGGCGTACTGATGAGAGGTAATGAATATTGGAATGAGACAGTCGTATCGCATTTTTTTCACGATATGGGACGATGTTAATTGCTTTGTCTGAGACAGGCCCAATGACCGATCTATCGGGCGTATCAGTATCTGAAGGTATTATCGGTTGTAACTATTGTTGGATATGCTGAGAGAAAAATGAATGAGCGCCCGAGCGAGGCGTGCTTGGGCTGAAAAAATCGCTAGACGAATATTTTACTCAGTCATCTTTATTATATTTTTTAATGGCTCAGCAGAGGCCGACAGGTTTAGTCAATAATGGGACTCATAATGTGGATATTACGTAGTCTATTGGAGAATAATGGAAATAAAATTAACTGATAGAGTGGAAAATTACCGGAAAAGAAATCGTTTGATTAGAATTTGAAAGTGTATCTCTTACAGAGGGAGCTTATCAAGAAATATTTTGTCTCTAAGTCACAAGATTGCTATATCTTCATTATTATTTCATTCAAGGATCAATTTCTTCTTTGTGATTACTGAATAGTCGGAACAAAGAAATACTGTCCCTTGTTTTGCATAAAAATATGGATGGGAGTGACTAAATCTATTTTTGCCGATAGAAATTTTGGACTGTCTTTAAAGGGTCAGCAGTAGATGACATTTTTTTGGTAATTAATTTTTATTAACTAGCGGTTTTTTGGTTCAAGCAAAATCCGTTTGAGAGAATATTTTTACGCGAAATTAATTTCCTTCACGAAACTAAATTCAACACTCTTTATTATAGTAACAATATCGATGAGCTTATCATGACGAGTTATCTCGATCTCACGAGCTCTGTTGAATTCAGCGATAACAGACGTCGCGACATCGCTTGAATGATTTTAAATACCCCTTCATCATGCTTATGATGATTCTTTTGTGATGAGGGGGGTTTATCGAACGATAACATGGAATTGGTCGAGTGGATTGGTGATAGAATAGGGCGTTAGAAATGTTTGATAGAATGGAGGTCTTGATGGCTATCTTTTGAGAGAGGAAACGCGAGAGGCGGAGGATGAAAATGGGAGTAAATACAGGGGGGCTTGGTTTTTTGTCCTGCAGAGAAACGTCAGCTGCTGCATAATATCAGCGGGGACTTCAGGGCTGGCGAATTGACAGCCGTCATGGGACTCTCTGGCGCTGGAAAGTCTACGCTCATGGATATTCTCGCTGGTTTCACGTAAGGAATATTGGGGTGAATTGAGACGATTTGGTATCGAGCTGATTTTAGTCATTTTAAGAGACGTTTATCTTAAAATAATTGACGCTTGCTAGTCTTCATTGAAAATTGAAAGTCGGTAAAGTAAGGAAGAATGGAAATCGACGGTTGACAGTTGAATGAATAGTTATAAATTTATTGAAAATGAATTTTGATTAGCTGAATAATCGTCAACCCTTCGCACGAAATTATCGACTGATGATTAATTCAATAATGTAAAGATTGTTTAATATTATTGACTGATTTTATATTGAATAAAATGTTTTTATCGGAATTTTATGATCATGCTTTTAAAAAAATATGTGATTTTTAGTGATCGTCGTTTTATGTGTCAGAGCGTGGCTATTCCAATTTAACATGCGATAAAAATCCAAAAAATGGTGACGTCAGTGAGCCTGGATACAAATTTCTTAATTCGAATTTTTTTTTACCTGGATCCATTCGACTGTCATCTGGGAGAAACATAAAAAATTGACATTCACAGATGAAAACTGAAAAAAAAGTCAAATTCAACAATTCAAATTGGCATTCGTTGATTGCAAAATTTCATGTACGTACAATTTCGCAGTAATAAAATCATGCTTCGATAAATTATCAGCAAGTGCATAGAATTTGTGAAAGTCGGTCCAATCCACTCCACCCAGAGGACGCGTTCGAATAGAATAAAACTCTATTCTATTAATTTGGTCGAAATAGAATACAGTTATGAATACAATCATGTTACATGTTAAAGAGAAAATGCATATACATTTTTACATTTTCGCAGTCAATGAAACTCTGCATTTGATGTAAATAAAAATCCAAACAAAAATAAAATTTTAATTTGAATGAAAGCTTCATCACGAGCGTTTGAATAAACTCGTTCCTTCGTTCGGGAAAAAGTATATTTAATTCAAATATATAATCAAATATATAACCGTCTTAACCCCTTCATTCAATTGTTAAAAATATTGAACAACCTACTTTAGAACCCCGCAGAGTGGCTGTGTATTTGTAAACAACAGCCCTCGTGAGCTAGCCGCCTTCAGAAGATCATCAGCATATATAATGCAGGATCATTATTTAGAACCATTACTAACTGTCGAGGAGAGTATGAAGGTCGCAGCAGACCTCAAACTCCGGATGACCGATGAGAACAAGTCTGAGAGGGTAATTGAATGATTCACTCAACTTGCTGGGAATTGAAGAATTAACTGATGATATTTCGGTACTTGCCAGCTAATTCGACCAAGGGAATTAAAGTAATTGGTAATTGTTGTAGATTGAACACATTCTAGTTGCACTGGGCCTCGCCAATTCCAAACAGACCAGAACAGGCAATCTCAGTGGAGGACAGCGGAAGAGATTAACTATTGCTCTTGAACTTCTGAATAATCCACCATTCATGTTGTTTGACGAGCCAACGAGGTGAGCATCCACTTCCTAGGCGATTAAATTCTCCTCGGAATTCCATGTTGAGATCGGTAGTGTAGTTCCTCACGAGGAAAAAGTCGCGGGAATCCCAAGGAGAAGAAAGTTGGGGAGCAAAATTCAGTTCTAGATATTTTTGACTCTATATTGAGAGAAAATGGCGAGACGAATGGTGATTTCTTCTCCCCTTGCCCCGAAAAATTGACTAAACGTCGCGGTATTTCTCCTGGAATCGTAAAATTTATCTCAATGTCTAGGATTTTTTGAAATTTTACTTTCGTCCATTCCTATGTCCTTCGCATCTTTGTTTGTTTGTTGTCGCTGTCCCAGTGGAGGACAGCGGAAGAGACTGGCTGTTGCTCTTGAACTTATAAATAATCACCATTTATGTTAAGTCATTTGAGGAACCAACGAGGTGAGCATTGACTTCCTAGTCGACTAAATTCTCCTCGAAATTCCATATTGAGATCGGTATTGAGGAAGAAGTCGCGGGAATCGCACGGAGAAGAAATTCGGGGATAAATTACGAATAAATCAAGTAATCGTGGAGCAAAATTCAGAAAGAAATTCAGAAAAAAATACGAGACGAATAGTGAATCTTTCTCCGCAAAAAAAATTACAGAACATCAGGATAAATCTCCTGAAATCGTAAAACTCATCCGGAATTGCATAAAAGATACTCAATGGCTAGGATTTTTTTGTAACGAAGGACAATTTACGCCGAACACTGTACATTAAATTTTTCACTTTCGTCCATTCCGATGTCCTTCGCATCTTTGCCTCTCAGTGAAGGACAGCGGAAGAGACTGGCTATTGCTCTTGAACTTATGAATAACTCACACGAGCCAACGAGGTGAACATCAACTTCCTATTCGATTAAATTCCCCTCGAAACTCCATAATAAGTTCGATATTGAGGAAGAAGTCGCGGGAATCCCACGAGGAAGAAAGTCGGGAAGACATCACCAACGAAATTGAGTAACCGTGGAGTAAAATTCAGTTCCCGATCCATTTGACTCTGTATCGAGAAAAAAATGCGAGACGAATGGTGAATTTTTCTCCGAAAAAAAAACTAAACATCAGAGTAATTTCTCCTGAAATTGTAAAATTTATCCGGAATTGCGTAAAAAATTACGCCTCTGAACGTGAATGACTGCTCGATGTCTAGATTTTTTTTGTAATTCTTACCTTCTCACGTCCTTCGTAAACCGAATCAAGAGATGTTCCCCACAAAAGGATTTTCTAATGAAAAACACGTGGCTCGAGATTACCTAGACAATTTTCCTCCAGCTTTTCTCTCCGCGCATTTACCATTTTCTTTTCTCTCATTTGCTCTTGCTCTTGTTGACACAGTGGCCTCGATAGTGTTGCATCTAAGCAGTGTCTCAATTTATTGAAGGCATTGGCACGTGAAGGACCACGCACGGTAATTATAACGATACACCAACCTAGTGCAACGCTCCTCGACATGATCGATCATTTACACGTACTCGTTGATGGCTCGTGTATTTACACAGGTGGTACAAGAAATCTGATACCCTATCTGTCTGACCATGGTCTCCAGTGTCCGACTCACTACAATCCAGCTGATTTCTGTGAGTCCATTACATTGATCACCTTGACACGTTTTTCCCTCGAATTGCGGTGAATTTCAGTTAATTTTTCGCTTTCATTGGCTCAGTGATGGAGATATGCAATGGAGATTATGGTGATTACAATAAAACCCTCAGCCAGTCCATTGATAATGGGAAGAGTAATGCCTGGAGGTCACCGTCGGAGACTAAAATTCATTGGTCCTTCGGCGATGGACTCAATATGGAACTTTACGATGGCGATGGTGTGGATGACAATAGATCGAATTCTGGGTATTATGCCACTGGATTTCCGAGACAGTTGGGCGTGCTTTTCAGGAGAAATTTCATCAAACTTTCTAGGGATAGGGTAATCTATTCAATTTACTATTGACAATGATTTCGTAGAGTGAGAAGAAAAATTTTAATGTCTGAAAAATGTTTACTTGGGAGAAGTTTTTCGTCTGCTCTTCGCTTTTCCTCGTTCGAGAATTGGTATTAGCTCTTCCCCAAACTCGTACAAGTGAAAATCACTATGGAAAAATGCTCGCCGGGCTGTTTTTATGGGGTTTTATGCTCGCGGGGTTGGCAGGCCTCGCCTGCGGCTCGGCCCACCAACTCCCCACGAGTAAAAACCCCATAACGACAGAAAAATACTATTTCGTCGATCCTTTAGGGGTATCACAGTATTTTTTAGAGTTTGGTGCAGACCTCACTAGAGATTCAAACATTTTTCATGATTTCTCAATTAATTGCAATTTTTTAATTATTTCGTCAGTTTTCCGCGAAAAGTAAACTTTCTCATTTTTTTCAGATTTAAAAAATTTTTTCTAACAGTTCAATATCGAGATTCAAATTCAGACCTGCAAAGTTTAAATAACAAAATCATTGTAAAATGTCCGGAAACTTAGGGTTAACTTAAATTTCTATACGTAATTTATTCATGATGTAACGCGCAACGACAGTCACAAATGAGACTTTATTCAAGTTCCGGGCAACATTCTGAGATTTAAGCCATTGACAATAATTTACTTCTCTCAATTAAATATAATCTGCATATTAGGATATTTTTCTCTCACTGGACGTATGGAGATATTCAATTCTATTGAGACTGTCCCACAGAAGAAAGTCAATAGATTCTAATTTTACCTCTATAAAAACAATTGAAAATAAATTCCACAATTTCTTTTAGCTGCATTTTCTTCACCACTTATTAATTTTAAGAAAAAATAATTATAGATGCATGCACTAAAATTATTATTCAAGAATGAAAATCTGTTAATTTTTTTTCTACCCAAAAATCCATTAAAAATTACGTAACTTGAAAAAAAAATTATTCCCATCTCTATGAAATATTTTCATACGTGTATTTTCATACGTACATTGCATGGAAGAATAAAAGAAGTCAGAAGTAGAGAAATCATTACCGATGTTATCTTTTCAGATTCTCACGTTTACGAGACTCAGCATGCATTGCCTAATAGCAATTTTCAAAGGATCGGTATTTTACAACATCGGTGAGGATGCCGAGGAGGCTCGCAATAACTCTGGCCTACTATTTATGAGCCTCATGTTTGTGATGTTCAGTGCGTTCAGCGCGACGTTAATAACTTGTAATAGTATTTCCACAATTTTCAGCAGGAATTTCAGTTAAGACGTGACAATTAGTGCATTCGTGCTCTTATCTGCTTCAGTTCCCCTCATACTGCCAATCGTCGTGCGAGAGCACTTCAATCGATGGTACAAACTGCGCTCTTTCTACTTGGCGAACAAATTGGCGGATCTACCAATTCAGATCACAGCTGTGTCATTATATATGTTGATTCTGTATCTCATGACTGGACAGATTGCCGAGGGCAAGAGGTTTCTACTTCTCTTGACGTGTTACATTGCGGTTTCACTCGTAGCTCAACTTATCGGACTTATTTGTGGAATTGTTTTTAGTATAAAGGTACAATAATGTGATAAAAATAATTTATCAATGGAAATAATCAATGGAATTTAATTGATTTTTATCCTTTTATAAAACGTATTTTATCCGCGTATTTCGCATTGAAATTTTCGGCATAAATTTAATTTTTTTCACGCTACTTTCTTGTTCTTCTCGTGAGAACTTCTCTGTTGAAGTTTGCTATTGGAACAATGTAAGACTATTGGAAAAAATTATGAAATTACAAGTTTCAACTAAAATTCAACTAAACTTTAAAAGGAAACTTCACGACTTATTATTAATTAATTGGAAATTTGAGGATATATTCACGAAATGTCATTAAATTTCAGCGGTAATGTAATTTTTTTTTAATGTCAGAAATTTGTATCAGAAAATTCACACGGAAAAGGATAAAAATCTATTGATTTTTTTGCTAAACTTCAACGTTTTCTGTTTGAAAATTGACAAAAAATTAATATCAAATATTGGTTTTGAAGAAGGATTTATCAATTAATGGGGATGATCTTCAATGATTTGTTTTTAGTACGGAGTTATATTCGGCCCTTTCTTCATCATGCCATTCGTGTTATTTAGTGGTTTTTTGGTGCACTTGACTGATGCCCCGTGGTATCTACAATGGCTCTTCCACGGTTCATTCTTGAAATATGGGTTTCAAGCTGCCATGGCCTCAATGTACGGGTGAGTCTTGAATATTTAGTGCAATGGAACAGCGCATTATTCAAATAGATCCTCGTAACCACCGAAAGATGACTAAAGTAGTGTTTTTTTTCTTTCCATTTTTTATTTAGTTGTTTTTCATTTTTTTCCCTGTAGATTCGGCCGATCCAAGATGCCTTGCAACGAAATTTACTGCCATTACACTTATCCCAGCAAATTACTAATGGATTTTGGAATGAAATCCGCGGAGTACTGGATGCCCATGATCGTTCTAGTTATTCTCTACCTAATTCTTGACTTGATCGCCTACGGTTGTCTTCGATTAAAACTGAAGAAAATACTTTAAAGATGGACAATAAATTCCATAAGACTAAAATAAACGTAAGGAGATATATTCCATTTTGTCTCGAAGAAATAACGCGAGAACATGAGCAGCAGAAATCTAGTCAAAACGAAATTTCCAAGTGAAAGTAATTCTTGGGATCATCGACGATAAATAATTTTTGAAAACCTCTTGGAAATTGTAGTTTTTGTACGTTGCCATAAGAAAAATTTTTATGGAAAAATCTATTCTGCCAAATAAATTTTTATACCTCAGCGGTAGTTTTTAATTTTTTATCGAGCTGAATTCACCTTTCATATTCCTTCTTTCTGAGGAGCGTTGCAACACCGTGAGTACATATCTGAGAGCTTTCTACTTGATAATTCCGCGCACGAGTGAGCGCAATAGGCTATCCACATGAGGTAGGATATACACCTCTGGGTAACTACGCAATAGGGGTATTTAAAATTGAAAACGCTTTGGAATGATGAAAATAAGTAATTTTTAGTCATTTTAATGTCCAAGTACGTCGGGTATTTTTTTTTTCAGTGAAATGCTTTTATACTAGTCGAACATCAGAACTTTCATTTGATCCCCATTTTATCCGGACATTTCACAGTTTCCGGACATTTTACAGTAATTTTATTATTTAAACTTGCAGGTCTGAATTTGAATCTCGATATTGAATACTTAGAAAACATTTTTAAAATCTGTAAAAAAAATTAGAGTTTACTTTTGGAGGAAAATTAATGAAATAATTTAAAAATTATCATTTTGACAATTATGAACGTTTTCCATAAATAATTTATAAACAATCAATTTTCCACTATCGTAACAAACTTATTCATACGCAGAATTTTACCAGAAATCGATTTCATGCTAAAAAAAATTGTTTCCTAAAGTTTAAGCAATTTTACTCAACATTCGTTGTTTATTAACAAATAAACAACGAATGTTTAAAAAAATTATAATTCTGTGCAATTCATTCATGATTTTTATGAAATTTTTCTCACATAACTTAAATGACTAATTTGATGATTGAAAATGGTTGAAGAATCTACAGCGAAACTCAATCGATTTCCGTTTTTCTATACGAATATTCTAGCAATCTATTTTCCATAGAAATTCCCCACGTTCATTCCACTGCATGTTTTTCTCTCTCGTAAAAAATTCGCGACAAGAAATTCCTTTGAAGTCAATATCGAAATAACGAGTCGTATAGAAACATCAAAATCCTTCAGTAAAAAACGTAATTTCATGCGCATGAGATCATGATTCCCTATGACTTTAACATTCAATATCATAAGTGCGATCCAGTATCTCGAAAACACCTCCTTTGTCTCCCGATTAGGCTAGTCCTCTCAGTCTCGGCACTTCTCCCGCGACTCACTATCTCTCTCCACGTGGCATTCTCCGTTCGTCTAGTGGTCACAGAAGGGGTCAGACCGTTCTCACTCGTTTTCAATGTTGTTCGCTTCAGCAAGAGACTCCGGGCGCTCCACAGTCTCCACTCGAATCTTGTCTCGAATGGAGTTTAATTCTGAGCCTCGAGATAACTCGCGAAAGATAAATGTAACAGGAAAGAATAATACGGAAAATTCAAAGTGCAGGCTTATCGTGTAGCCACGCAGTGCAAGCATGGAATAAAATTACTATCTCCTGATATTAAACACTTGCTGAAGGATACCCTGATAGCAGTATCAATTGTCCAATTATCTTGGCGTCCACTAGATTTGAATGATTAATTGGTGCAATGGGTGGTGAATACGACATCGGCGAGGACGACAGTCTCATGAGGGGTCCAGCGGTGAAAACATTTTTAACGAAATCGGATGATCCGGAGATTCCGGCTGAAGTCCTCCCAAAGTCTGAATCGAACATAACAATTAGTTTCAATGACCTCTCATACTCAATCCGTCCGAAGGCCAGAGGCAAGTCATCTTCGTCAACTTCGTAAATTCGGTTGTAAACAAGTGGGAAGTTACTCTTGTATTGGATATGGTGTAGTTATTTTTGCTAATTAATTAGCAATATGCTTCCGAATGATTATTTTGCACATCATTTCCTTCTGTGATGGATAATTATTTATTTCATTCTATTAAATTGAATAAGATTTCTGTTTAACTAATTTTTTCATTTAGTTATTGTGACTTTGTTCTGTACAACCGATTGTTTTTTGCAGTTCTATCTCTCCCCTCAGCCCTGCGATAAAATGTTAGTAGAAAAATGTTATTTATACATACCTGAATGAATTTAAAACAAACATTTTAAGTTATGATTGAATTCATTTGAAGCATGATATTCAGTTATCCCCGGAATTCTTATTTTCAAAAAATACAAAATTTTGGAAATTTTCAAATAAATCAAAATAACGATTATTGCTATCGTCTTCATCTTTGAACTCGGTCTAAAAGACATCCAAACAAATTTGTTAAGCCACCATTCAATCAATTTAGATCATTTTTTTAGTTATCGTGCGACAACCGATTTTCGAAAAAATTTGAAAATTAAATAACTGATAGATGAATTAATTTTTAATTAATGACGATCGATAGGACAAAAAAGGTTTAATTCAAAATTCAACTCCGTCCATTCATTAGCGAACGATTGCATTATCGGACTTTTTTCAACACAAAAAATCCAAAATTTAAATTTGAACGAACAAAAGCAAAAATAATCACTGTTGAAATTACACTGAAAACTGCGTGATTAGTTGAATAATTCAACGATATAAGTAATTATTTTGTTAGCGTTATTTCAATACCCAGGTAAAGGAGGGAAAGAGGTGCTGCTGGGAATAGATGGATATTTCCGTGGGAGTTGTTTGAATGTGCTGATCGGGCCTTCAGGAGCTGGAAAAACCAGTTTGTTAAGTATCCTCTGTGGACTGAGGGGCAGAAAAGAGGGAGTCAGAGGGCACGTTGCTATCAACGGCAGTATGTCTACAGCTGATACGCTCAGAAAATTGGCCTGCTATATTCCGCAAGAATTCGAACTGCTACCTTTGCTTACTACTAGAGAAACACTTTATTTTGCTGCTAAGCTGAAAGTTCCGGGATCTGATGAAAAGAAAATCAACGCTTTGGTAAATTGGCTTGTGAATATGGGGGAGTTGTTTTTTTCTGCAGTGCACGGAGGGAAATTTGATTAAAATTAGTTGCAAACATTTTTAGTTTTGATGGAAATTTCGACGCAGAGGTCAACTTATTTGAAAAATATTTCTCCCTGTGTGAAGTGAGATGACAGAATGAATCAATTTTATTTGGAGATAATTTTTTTTTAAATAGAGCGAAATTTTTTCAATTAATGCGTTCGATTTATTTTTCTATTAAAATGTTTGGTAGGAAAATGTTGTGACTGAAAATTACACAATTTAGTTATCGCTGAATAAGGGAAGTGCATGAAGAATTCAGTGATATCTCAGTTTATAAATCATGTCACGTCATATTGTGATACTCGAAAATGATGTAATATCGTGCCACAAGAGGTTTGATGATGTCTCTTGCGCATAGATTTGCTTACACCAATTGCTATTGTTCGAAAGGTTTTTATTGAATTCATTAGTTGATAATTTGAATAAGGACTTGACCGACTTCCAACAGCGAAGCAAGCATTAATTTTTCCAATCCCTCCCACAATTTTTTCTTTGCTCCATGGGAAAAACTTGAGAAATTTATTCTGGGATATTTCTAAAGAAGAAGTCTCAACAGAGTGAATTATTCAGAAAACTCAGAGCCTATTGTTTTTTTCTGCTGCACATTTTTCTGTCCAGTTTTTCAATTCGAACGCCGTGTGAGAGATAAACTGTGGAATATGAAATCGCCAGCGTGTTGAACATTAATCATTTTCTTGTGTCTAAGATATGATCAATTCCAGTGCGCGACGATTACTTTTGCCTGTATATTCAGGGCGGTTTTATCAATCGCTATTATTCGAACATTTTTTGCTGAATTTATTAATTGAACAGTTGAATGAGAACGGGAGGCCTAAGACTACAGCGATTCTACGGTTTCGCTTGTGAGATTTTTGAATTAAGGATATTCAAATACTTTGGCGAACATCAGAGCTTTCATTTGAGCCCCATTTGACCCTATGTTTCCGGAAATTTTACAATTATTTTATTATTTAAACTTTGCAGGCCTGAATTTGAATCTTGATATCGAATCATCAGAATACATTTTAAAAATCTGAAAAAACTGGAAAATTTACTTTTGGAAATCATTAATGAACAATTCAAAAATTTCAATTTTTGGAAATTACGCGTATTTTATATAATTTATAAACAGTCAATTTTTCAGTATAAAAATCATTATTTATTTATGAACAACAAATGCTTTTAAAAAATAATAATTCTCTGCAACATGTAATTTGAATGACGCTCAATATTCACTATTTCATTCAAATTTTTCTCACGCAACTTAACTGACAAATTTGATGATTAAAAAGGGTTGAATATATTGCGTGGTCTGTACCAAATTGTAAAAGAAGCTTGAATTGCCTTAATTTCTCCTCACGTGGTCAGTTCAATGAAAAAAGCGTTGAGGAAATGTCCCATAATCCCCGACTTCAAGACATATTCGTAAATAATTTGACGTCACTCCGCAATTATCATTCGGCTGATGAAATAATATTTAATTTTTCTCTTGGAAGGTAATGAGGGTAGCGAGCACATTGGGTCTCCAGAACTGCCTCAGTACAATGACCGGAAATTTGAGTGGTGGTGAAAAAAAACGTCTCTCAATTGGCGTGGAAATTGTTGTTAATCCTCGAGTGCTCGTGCTGGATGAACCAACAAGTGGACTGGACAGTGCTGCCTCTCTACAAGTTATCATTTTACTCAAGAACATTGCGCAGTCCGGCTGCACTGTTATTTGTTCTGTTCATCAGCCGAGCAGTCAAATGATGACTCATTTTGACGAGATGCTCGTTCTTGCTGAGGGAAGGGACTTGTACTGCGGGCCAGCGAGTAAAATTGTGGAAACCTTCGGGGAGGCGGGGTTCTCCTGTCCCCCGTTCTACAATATCTCTGAGTTTGGTAATTAACATTTGCAGAGGGGAGGGACTATACATGAAAAATATGCGGTTAATTTCCCTGGAATTCTCAATTAGTTGCTAATTTGATAAAGAAATCAAAAGAAATCAGGGCAAGTGGGTAAAAATTAGGAACATTCGCGTGAATATATTCTTGAATTTCAAATTAATCGAGCATTCAGGTCACTTTGATAGTGAATATTCATATTCAATTGCAAATTCAAGAATGTCATGATGTTATGAAGCATGAGTCACATACACAATTGATCTGTTCATTAAATCATGATAAAATCAATGGAAACTTCAAAATTCAGTTCAATTATTCCGTGAAAATAGGGAAAATTCGCCTGAACATTTCTTGGAATTTTTAATGAACTGAAAAGTTGTGTCATTCTGATGCTGAATATTCGTACTGAATTGAAAAATTAAGTAAATTTGAAAATTTTCGCCAAATTTCTACTTGAAACTTTCGGATTCACCTGTATTTTTAACTCAAATATGTGTTTTTATGCGGCCTTCATGACCTCTACAATTTATTTTAATAATTTAGACATGAAGGCAATAATTTTTAAGCGTAGCGCTTTTTTAATAGTAGGGGAGGGTGAGATAAAATGGACACTTCTGACTTTGATAAGAATATTCATAACTCAGAAACTGATTTATCAATTGCGCTCAGTCTAAGCTCATCACAAAGGGGAATAATTGTTCTTCCAATTGAGAAATTAAATTATTCCATTTCATGAACAATTCAACACGCCATGAGCATTTCAAAAAAAGTCAAAAGTAACCATTTTACCCCACCCTCCCCTACAGTTTACAATAAAAAGAGATGGTTCTAGATATTAAACGATTTGTACTTGCAGTGATTGAGGTAATCACTGGTCAGCACGGAGGTGACTTAGATAATTTGAGAAACTACAGTGAGAAGTTCCAAGTAGTATCAAATAAATCCTTTGTACCTGTGTTCAACGGACAAGAGGACGCTGGGAGACGCGTGATAACGAAAAATACTGGAAGATGTCTGAAGCAAAAATGTGATAAATGGTTCAATGAATTCCGAATGCTGATTTGGAGGTCGACGAAGTGTATTCTACGAGACAATGTAATCCATGTCTCCACAGTATTAATTACTTCCTATTGATTATTTTATTCAATATTTCTCAATTATTCATGACAAAATGATTCATCCCTTCTAGAAATCTCACTAGGAAATCCTAGCACTGTTCTTTGGGAATTCTATTAGTTTATTTTCAATTTCTATTAAAAATTCAGAATCTGCTCCCCGAAATGATAGAAAATAGTTTAAAATCGATTTCGATTTTTTTATTCTCTTTTCTTCACCCAATTTTTTTATCTTGCATTGTAAAATTTGAGGGAAAAAAATAGAAAATTTAGACTCTGGGATTTTTATTAAGAAAAAATTGGATAGAAAAGTCGAAATCTATTTCTGTTAAATATTTTAATAATAAAAAATCAGAAAGGCTACGGAATTTCTAATTCTCGTAGATTGAAAAAATAATAGAATATCCATTGGATTTCAACAGAATTCCAATTAAACTTCCATCAAATGCGCTTCGATTTCCCCTTCAATTTTTTCGTAAATTACATATTCACAAACCGAATAAATTCCCACGAGCGCAGAATCATAACAAAATTGATAATTAAATCTTTGCATGTTTTCTAGACCTTGACAAAACTGAGACTAACTGCCCACATACTAGTCGGCATATTCATGGGATTGGTATTCTACAAATTCGGTGGTGACGCCAGTAAAGTCCCCAGCAACATTGCCTGTCTCTTCTTCTTCCTCCTCTTCCTCTTCTTCAGCAATGCAATGCCGTCAGTGCAGATGTGTGAGTCCAAATTGGAGTGAAAAAATCCGCATTATTCCATGCGTGAAGCTATCTCATTCTCCCGATAAGACCGAAAAAAAAAACAATTTAAAATGAAGATTAACATGTATTCATTCACAATCACGAGAATTCTCTTCCTCGTGTGAGACCCGAGCGGTAGTAATTAACCTAATAAGAATGCGATGTATTTTCGACTCTGATTGATTAACTATTTTTAGTTCCGATTGAAGCAGAGGTCTTCGCAAGGGAGCACATGAATAATTGGTATGGCTTGGGGACTTATCACGTCACAAAGGTCCTAACAGATCTTCCTCTACAGGTTTAAATAATTCTTTGATGAATTAGGGGAAGATGAGGTGAAATGGTCAATCGTAAATCTTGAATATCTAGTGATTACAAATGCACACATTTGCATATTTTTAGTGTTTGCAAATGCAGATGGATGTCCTTAAATGATGTGATTTAAAGTAGCTCTACACGGAGAGAAATTCTCTAGAAAAATTCCAGTGCGACATTTTTATTACAAAAATCCGATTCTAATATTTTATTTGCCTGGAGATATAGAAGATCTTGAAAAACTGTGGGTCAAATAATGTTTTTTTAACATTTTTATTTATAAAATCGAAAACGGCAATTAAATGGCGAAAGAAAGATTACGATTTCGAATCGAGTTTTCGGTGTTTATGTGCAGTTTTTAAAAATCTTTTAATTAAAAAATAAGGAGCTACTTCAAATGAATCACTTTGAAGCCCGGAAAAACCATCGGAAAAATTTGAAAAACGTTGGATTTCATCTATTTGTTTATTTCTCAATCGTTGATTCCAAAATCATTGAAGATTGATCCAAAATTATTGAAGATTGAAACCTCTCCATTTTACCCTTTTTTCTTCTAAACGTAACTCTCAATGTTCCATAATTCACCTGAAATTGTATTGGATTACTTGCGAATTCTAGACTCTCTGTCCTACATTCTTTCTGGTAATAGCTTACTGTATGACCGGACAACCAGTGGAGTGCGACAGGTTTATGAAGAGCTGGTTGATCTGCTTTCTCCTGTGTATACTCGCGCAATCCTTCGGAATGCTGACTGGAGCTGCAGTGCACACTCATGTAACTGATCCATTAACTCTTTTTAAGGGGTAACAGAATGCGGCCAAATGCCAAATTTTTCAATAAATTTCCTGCCCAAAGTTGTCGATATTTCTACAAATCAAAGCGCATTAATCTCCAGGAGGCGATGATGAGGGTCAATGGGCTTTGGGTTCGAAAAATACAAACAACTTTGAGCAGGAAATTTGTTTGAAAATTTCGAGGAAACGTTGGCCTTCTGTTATCCCTTAATTCTTGTATGCCGTGTTGTCCCTGGATACATTAAATTTTTTCCCTAGGCCGGAACGTTCCTTGTGCCTGCGCTGAACATACCGATGTGCCTTTTCTCGGGATTTTTCCTAAAACTGGGGGAAGTCCCGTCTTACATGACGCCCATCAGCTTCTTGAGCTACTTTAGGTATTCGTTTGAGGGACTCATGCTGGCGGTTTACGGAGGGGACCGAGGGGCCTTGCCGTGCCCTGAGGAATTCTGCATTTTAAGGGCTCCGAATAAAATCCTCAGACACATGGACATGCCGTCCTTAGAATTCTCGTCTACGGTTTATGCACTCGTCAGTTGGATAGCGCTTTTGCATTTATGTATTTATGGGGTGCTGAGGTGGAAGAGTACTAGGTCAATGTAGGAGGGAATTTTTAATTCCGTCTGAATAATAATTCGGTAGTTAAGGGGTAAAACGAGATCAGAGAATCATAACAGATGAGACAATAAATCGTGGGGATTTTTATGACGTCAGGAAACCTGGATGGAGTAAACGACATATAATTTATTGCTGCAAGTACGAAAAATTTTCATTAAAAAATCTAGCGAATTCGCTAGAAAATTTTTAAATGTTTAATGAAGGAGAATTTTTCAGTGCTTTCTTATATTTGGGAATGAGAAACGGGAAAAAATGCAGCAAAACAAGTTTGTAAAATTGAGGTCACGAATTTTCTATTGGAAAAATCTCAAAAGTATAAGTAATCATTTGAGAAGATCAAAATCTATTGACTTTCAACAAAATTTGTATAATGAAGAAATTGTTTTCCGCTTCACTTCATAACCAAGATCCCCAAGGGAATTCCGGTAGATTCGTTTTCGTTATATTCGTTTCATTTCCGTTAGATTCGAAGGGGCCCTTATGACGAATTCATGTTGAATTAGGCTATCTCGTTCTACCACTTTCCTACACCTGATATTACATTCCCGGTTAATGCTCAATGAAATAGGTGAAGATATTATTTTTCCACGTGATTTTTATTTCCTCAAATGGTGTTGATATTTTTATTTATTACATGAATACATTTTGTACCTGTGGTTTTACGCTGTAATATTTTTATTTTGTAATACGAATAAATGGAAATGATGATTACGTGGCAGTGTCATTTTATCGTGGTCCCAGAAGTTGTCACGATTTTTTCGGAAATAAAAACTCGACGGTTTCATTCATCAAGACTTCATCTATGAAAAACCAATACAAAATCCCTGTCACCGACCTTCGAACATATTCCTCAATCGTCAATCAAGTTTTCCCTCCATCATGACATATCCAAGTAAAAATAGACGAATGTTAATGCATAGAAGGTCACACAAGTGAAAAAAATACCACTATTTATTATTCTCATTTACAATATTCTCAGTGCACATTAATCCTAATTCTTACTCGACAGGGAAGTTCCTTGAGTGTCACAGTCCACCATTATCAACAATAATAAAATAATTTGCACCCCACAGTCGCCTGTAACTGTCAGTAACGAGTTACTGAACATGACTATTTTTCGTAAAAAAATAGTTAAAAAATTGCGCCGCATGCAACGCCAAGAATTTCTTTACTCTCGTTCACAACAGAAATATTCCTAGGCATTTCACTCATTAATTATCGAAGTGGTTAATTCATTATCGTGCAGACTGCAGCTTCCATCTCAGCAGGAAGTAGGAACTTATCCTCAACACTAGTAGCAGAACAGTCAGTCCAAAGACATCGTTCCAAAATTGATCGGGCGCCATGGCCACAATTTCATTCAGAAACTTCTTTGGATACTTGTAATGGCAGTACTCCTCCGTCTTCGCGCAATCCAGGGTGTCGCGATTTTCTCCGTAAATCGCGTGAATGTAGCCTTCTAGGCCGTATCGCAAGTAACTCAGGTAACTTCCGGGCCTCAAATACCCCGGGAGGTCACGCAAGTTGACCCCGAAACCAGCGAACATCATCATCGGGACTGAGAGGGTCGGCGCCAAGAATGTCCCGTTCTGAATGAAAAAAATCGATCATTTGACGGAAAAAACAACGATAATTGAATCCCCGTATTACGTGGCATAATCGTTTTGAGGGAATTCCAAATTCATTTTAAAAAATCTGCAGAATTTTGTCATTTTTACTAATTTTTCTTTTGAGACATTTTCTATGGGAATTACTCAATAAATATTCCATTTTTTTACTCTTTTTTCTCCTCTCTTCATAATTTTTAAAACGCGAATAAAGAAACTTGGAAAATTTAAACCGAAGAATTTCTATAGAATAAGAGAAATAAATAGAATAAATTGCATAGAAACATCAAATTCTATTGATTTTTTCTGTAGAATATTTTCCATTGAACATTCCTATTGAAGAATACCGCATCAAGACATTAATTTATTATAGAAATTTCTCGACATGAATTTTCCCAGTATTAGTCACTCCATTTTACATCACCTTTCATTGAAAAAAAATCATACAAATTTGAAAGTTTCAAGCCGACGAATTTCTAAAAAATATCTCAATAGAATAAATTGTGCACAAAAATTAAATTCTATTAAATTCGATTTCGCCAGGTTATTCTATGGAATTTGTTCTCACGTGTAATGAGCATCGACGGTCAAATGAATTATCCAAAGAAAATATCATCACGCAATTAATTTCGTTTAATAAATCGACACGATGATTTCCACTCACCACAACACTGAAGACAGCTCCGATGACGAGACCAAAGCTCTGAGCAGTAAAAACAACGAGCATGCTAATTGTGAAGAACATTGAAAATCTGCTCCACTCCATGGGCTGTGCAGACATAACATAGATGATGCCCGAAAATGCTGCACAGCATATCACAGCAACGGGTATATCGATGATAGTCACCGATACGTAGAACATTTTGAGACTGTACCATCTGTTGAAATGTTCTTTCTTCAAAATGTTCATCTCCGACGGAACTGCCCGAAGAAAGATGAGAATTCATTGCGACGGGATTTTCAATGATATTCATAATATGATTACTTGAATACTTGATTGAAATAATAAATTGTCAAGAGTCGTTTACTCACATGTAAGAACTGTTAACATCATGGATGTCATCATGTGATGCATTAGAATAGCAAAAAGTAGATTATAATTTTCCAGAACTCGGTGTCCCTGATTACCAGCACCGATGAACAGTGTTCCGAGCATTATGCCCGTGAAAATATTAACCAGCAATCTTAGATATGTTAAAGTCTGAAATTCGATTGAACGCAATTATTGAAATTTTTATTTTTATGGGAATTTTTATGAATGAGAAGCGAATTCATTAATCAACACTGAAATTAACGTCTTTCACAAAAATTAAATTCCTTTCGTGATCATCAGATATATCCCTAGAAAAATTCGAACTGTTGGCCGGAAAAAATATAATCTATTTTTTCTCCCAGCGAAGTTCAGGGGAGAAAAAAATTAGAGAAAAAATCTAGAGCATTTACTAGGAAATATTGAAATTCGTTTCCGTTTTTTTTGCATTTTTTTCATGAGAAGACTTAGAAAATTTAAGCGGAAAAATTTCTATATGTATAATCTCAACAGAATTATTTGTACAAAAAGATAGGAATCCATTGATTTTTTTCTGTTAAATATTCTCTATTGAACAACAATCCAATACAATTTCCTAATAAACACGCTAGACTTTTCGTATTCAGTGTACTTTGCACGAGGGAAATCATCTAAAAAAAAAATCAAGGAGTTATCACCATTCTTAGTGGAAAGTGTCGATAATCCATTTCGAATAAATATCTCACGATTTCCGCTTTTTCACATTTATTTATCATAACCACACTCACCGTATCTCTTTTACTTTTTATAAATCCTCGTTGCAGCAATATTTTCAACTGATGAAGTTGTGACGTAGCTTGCAGAGATTTCTTCTTGCGCAGCTTTTTTAATATACTGCTTTTTTCACTCTCCTCCTCATCAAATTTTCCTGAAAATCACCAGCAGTTTCGCGTGATACAAATAATAATGTATGTTCGTAAGTGCCGCAAAAAATTAATCAACATATTCTCGAACGCTATGAATTTTTTTACCTCTTTTTTCATCCGCGTCTGGTGTTTGTTCTCCACCTTTGGATGAATCAATAGCGACCTCGATTGACGACACAAAGCGCTCTTTATTATTGAACCACTGTAAATTTCTCCCATTGTCGGATGCATTAACGAGGTTTTCGATTTTATCGTAACCGTGCTCACCGCAGGCCAATTCAATAACATAATCAGCTGGATTGTGATATATCGGACATGGTAGTTTAACACTCTCCAAATAGGGTACTAATTGATCAGTGGCCCCTTGATACAGGCAGTAGCCGTTGGCCACAACAAGTACCTACGACAAGCGTGCAATTGAATTTCAATTGGTTTTCGTTTTAATCTGGGTTAAGCATTCGATTTTTATACCGGTGACTGTGAAAATTGGATTCAAAATGTCAATTCTAATCAATCAATCACAGGGGATTAAAAAAGGTAGAATTTTCACGTCATGAGGTGTGCCTCATGTTTCTCGCATTTGTTGTAATTTATAGATTTTTTTTCAATTGTATTTCTCTGCACTGTTTGAGATCAAAATGATTTGTGGTCAATTTATTCTTGAAATTGCTTATTAATTTTGGAAATTCAATGATATTTAGTTTCTCCTGTCAGACAATTATTGATATGTGAATGTGAACCCACTGGAAAATGTTGTCACAATTGCGCTTTTCAATTGAAAACAGACATCATCTTTAGAGAGATTTGTCATCTTTAAAGACTTCTGCACGCCATTTCTCGACCCGCTCTTTCATTTGAGCTCAAAAA